AGGCTCTGCACAGGCGGGCATTCCCGTGTGCTTACCTGGTGTATTAAAATATCTGCTATCTGCCAAGCCGCTTTGTGGCTGGTGACGGGGCTCGAGACTCAGTCCCAAGGCAGAGCGGTCAGGGGAGAGAGGCGGGTTCGAAGCTCGAGGGTGGCGGCAATTTCCGCCGCTAGACTGGATTAGTGTGTGTGTCGGCAAATAAGTCAGAAGAGGCCTTCCTAGAGTCTGTCTTACCAGTGAAATGGCCTAAAAATAACAACAAATGTTACTGAAACGTAGTAAGTAACATTAAAATTGGCCATGTGGCAAGGGTTCGGGGGTCCCCGAACGCACTGGATACGAAAAACCAGGCCGCGTGTGTGCCTGTATCTGATTGGTGAACGCCTATCTACTAATGAAAATATTTGTTATCTACCTAGATCACTAGCCGCTGTGTAGCTGCTGGCGGGGCTCGAGAATCAGCCCCGAGGCAGAGCGGGATCGGTGAACGTTAATCAATATGTTTACGCTGCGTTTGAATACCTTTGGCCTAAATTCTTATCCATGCCCACTCTCACATTTCAGGGACACTGCGGGCCAGGAGCGTTATCGATCTTTGACCACATCTAGCTTCCGCGACGCAAGGGTTCGTCCTCTCCATAATATCTGTCTTTCAATCCTTTCACTCAGTACTGGTTAAACTTTTTTGGTGTCAAGACTCTGAATCATATTTGAAATAGGTCCGTCTCACTGTATAGTTTAAATAAAACAGTAAATGCTTATTTACTGACGCGTAGGATTACATGCACTCATACAGTGTTCATCCAAGTGCAGCGAAGGTTGATGTTGTGAAACTGCGCGATTTTTCTTCAAAATCCCAAATATTCAAATCAAATTCCTGTCTGCACACACAGATTCTTGAATATACTGAGTTACCCAAGTTAGAGATTAATTTCTTAGGAAATTAAAAAGCTTCATTTCAAAACTGGAAGATCTACCAGAAAGTACACCGAGGGGGTGCTGATGGACCCAATGATAGGTTTAACCCCTCGGGGCTCTGCCAGGCAGCGCCAGAATAGCCGGAAGACACGTCTATTGGCTTTTAGCTAGTGCCTATGCTACCAGTATGATAAATAATCACTTGGGTCATAATACTGACTGTTTTTGGCTGCTTGGGAATCTTATGCTGTAAATTCACAGAAACTGATGGATTCGGCCTAAATATTCATATCAGTCTGCGCGCTACAACTATAATTCCTTGGATGTGCTAATTTACTCCAGGTTTCATCTTAATTTCTGAGGAAATTCTTCAAATTGGCAGTTGTAGAGCATCTAGCCCGAAGGTGTATCACTTAAACGGTACACCACTGCACCAAGCTGACAGTCAGAAGGTCTTGAGTGTGTGTATTACTCCTTCTCTCAAACCAAAGATGAACTGCGCGAAGGCGGCGAAGTCGGCTAGATCTACCTTACATATGATAAGACGAGCCTTTATGGGGTTTGGGAAAGAAAGCTTTTCCAAAATATCTCGAAGTTTCGTTTAGCCGCACCTAGAATTCGTTATGTGGGCATGGAGACCAGGGGCTATTAATGACCTTACTGTCTCAGAGAAGGGGCAGAGGCGAACGACAAAAATGGTCAAAGGTCTGAGAACATTGTCCCATTAAAGTAGACTGTCAACCCTCAACCTATTCTCCCTTTCTCAAAGACATTTACCAGAGGATCTCATGCTGACCTCCCGGATTATGAATAACCCGGATTGTTGCTTTGTCCCCGGTGATTACTTTACCCAGGCCAACACGCACATCTTGCGCGGTCAACCCCTTAATATACACACCGGCAGCGCAGGGATCGATGGACAACAATTCTTCTTCAGTACCAGAGTGATTGCAGCGTGGAACGCCCTTCTCGAAGAGATTTTCTTCTCCACCTGTGTTAATTCATTTAAGAACAAACTGGACATGCAACAAACACATCATTCCCCAGGCACCTGCTAACCAAGGGACATTCATTGCATTATAGTATACTACTCGTGCTAATCAAGTAGCCATGTTTTATTACTATTTAGAACAAGCCACAACTGCTGTGTTTCCACCCGCAAGCATGTAACTGATGTACATTTTTTCAATTTTTCTTTGCATCTACATATTTCTTATCATCTTGTTACCAATAGGGAGTTCAAAGGCATTCCGCTATCTTTCCATCAGTAAACTG